CTAGGAGGCCAGGCTGGGAGAGTTGGGGGTGTTCAGCCTGGAGAAGAGAAGGCTGCGGGCAGAGCTGAGTCCGGCCGGTCAGGGCTTAAAAGGGGCCCAGAGGAAAGGGGGGGACAAGCTTTTTAGTAGGGCCAGCTGTGACAGGACAAGGGGGGATGGGTTTAAATTGAAGCAGGGTGGGTTTAGACTGTATCTAAAGAAGAAATTCTTTCCAATGAGGGTGGTGAAACCCTAGCAGGGGTTGCCCAGAGAGGGGGTGGAGGCCCCATCCCTGGGAACATCCAAGGCCAGGTTGGATGGGGCTCTGAGCAACCTGATGTGGTTCAAGGTGTCCCTGCTCCCTGCAGGGGGGTTGGGCTGGGTGACCTCTAGGGGTCCCTTCCAACCCAAAACATTCTATGGTTCTATGATTCTAAATGTTTGTTGTATTAAATGCTGAATCACGCTGGGGCTGGGGGAAGCCGATATTATTGCCATTCAGGGAATGCAGCTGTAAGCGACACAAGAGCAGCCTCATAACTCTCCTGTAAAGAACCCAGCTGTGGTCTTAAGGCCCTCTCTAAAATATCTATTTAACAGAGAAGAGTTTCAAAAAATAGAGGAAGAAAGGATGCATGTGAGTCATTCATGTGTAGCGCTTGAGGCTTGTTTAGGAGCGCTCATTAGCCCTTCTTCTCCATCAAAGGCATGTTGCCTCCTCCCGGATGCTCCTGCTATCCGGTAACTTCAGAGCTTTGTATTTGGTGCTGAAGTGGCTTGAGGAGCGTTAACGCATCCAGCCTCTCAGCTGTGGTGGAGGTAACTTGTATCTATACCTGGAAAAGTTTAACAAGAGCCTTTGATCTAAAACTCTGGTGTAAGCAAGGCTTAAGGTAGGTCTGTTCCCATTGGAGCTAGTGACAGAATTCCAGTCTGTAAAAATGAGGCGGTGGAAAGTCACCGGTGGTCGCTGAGCGTGATCACCACTAGCACATCCAGCAGCAGATCTCGACATCAGGAGCAAGTGATAACCTAGCCTGGGGGAATTTTCAGTTACTTTCAGTCTGTTTATTTCTGTGCTCTGCCTTTGTGTCAAATAAAGTTCTGAAGTGGGAAGTAAAAAAAAAAAAAATGTCCCCATACTGAATTTGTGATAGGATGGGAGTAAAGCAAACCAGTCACTGAGGCATTTATGCCTTTTTCTTTACACTTGCTGCAATCCATGGTGGACCTAAATGGCATTAAGCCCCGGGAGCAGCAACTATGGTTGGTAGAGCATTTGCAGGTTGAACTCAGAAGCGAGACCAAGTGTTTTCTGCATGGGTTTGATATGGGCTGCAGCCTCAGCACTTCTGCAGCATTTCTTGTCCTACTGCAGTGCTTTTGCCAGGTGTTGGGAGGAGAGTCTGGGGACTTCGTCATATCCAGTGTCTTCCGTTGGATGAGGTCCTGGGGAGGTAACGCAGCTTTTGCCTGGCCTGCCACCCTCTGTCCTTAACATTTAAGACCAGAACAGAAAACCTCGCCTTGCTCATGAGCTGCTACAGAGTGAAACGTGATGTGTGGGAAATTGCCTCCTGGCCCACGTGCGCTTTGGGTCCGGTCTTTCATGCTGACAAACCATTAAGTCTCCTGTGCAACTTCTGCTCCCCCAGTGGGAAACCACTTTCTACCCCATCTCCAGCTTCTTTTACCTTTTTTCCTCTCCATGTTTTACATCTCTTGACAATACCTGTTTGCTACAAGCGAATCTTACCTTATTGTTCACAGACTTGTTGCCAAAACATCCCTGACTTCACCCCCATGGCCTGAAGTGAAACTTCCAGATCCGGAGGAAGAAGCCAAGTATCATGCAGGTAAAGGTCTCGAGTCTCCAAGTGAAGACTGGCACTCCAGTATTGCCACTGGTGGCCTGACTGAGCATAAATAAGTGTCTTGACTGATTGGAGCTAGTTTTTGTTCTTCGCATTTTTGTCTCCTATCTGGCATGTGTTAGCATCACTGGACTTGTGCTCTGGCTGCTGGTATTGGAGATTTGGGTAGAATGTGAGGTCTCCTTAGTTTTATGACAGCGTGACAGCTTGTAACGCTCCCAGAGGAATCTTATCTGATGTGTTGTGTTGCTTTCTAAAGCATGAAACAAGCCTTTTGGACAGGAGAAAACAATTATTTTCCTTTTAATGGATAAATCAAAAAGCTAAAGCCAGCATAAGCAGTTGGATGGTGGGCACATCAGAGAGCTGGTGTATTTTAGTCCGTAAAACAGAACACGAGAGCCGGCATAAGCAGTTGGATGGTGGGCACATCACAGAGCTGCAGAGGTGTGACATAAGGCAATGAGCAGCTGGGAAGTGACATAATGTTAGTGAACACGCTCTTGTCCCCACATCTAGTCAGGACCGTTGAAGGCAGCCAGCGGTCCTCCTGCACGGAGCACGTGGACCGTGTGGTGGTCAGCCTCACAAGTCAGTGGGTGAAGTGCCCGTAGCTGTTCAGCAACCGCCCTCATTGCTTAGCCATACTAGAACATGTCAGTCTTCTGCCTGTAAGCAGACACGGGTTCCCCTGGCGGGCAGGGATGTGAAAATTAAATACAAACGAGGCATATGTGCCTAGCCTCGTATCGCCCAGGTGGGGCCATTGTCATCCAGAGCGTGCTAGGGATGGTAGTGGGGAAGCCAACACATCTACAGGAACGTTTCTCAGAAGTAGGCAGTAATGAGCCCCATTGGGGGAATTTCTTTTACAGCTGCTGTGGTGGTGGCTGTTAGCAGGTGTGTGCTTCATGCAGGTGATGAGCTCCTGTGTCTGTTAACAGGCAGTCTTGCTGTCTCGCTCTGTTAGCCTCTGGGACATCTATGAAAAGGCACCTGACTTCTCTGCTTTAGATGGGAGAGACCCAGGAAGTAAAGGGAAGGAGAGGAATTCTTTTACAAGGTGGAGTGAGAGGGGAGAAGCTGAGCTGGGTCCACCTTTTGGCAGATAGTCTCCTATCATCTGGCTGAAGTGTGTTAGTAACTGTGAGCGATGTGCTTTGGAGAGAGCCTCCTGCTCCAGGTCTCCTCTCTGGCTGTTTTTCATCCTGCTTTTTATCTCCTTTGCGCTCTCGGGATTGCTGAAGTGACAGATGAGTGTTCTGTCCCTGAGCATGATTTGACCCAGTAGTGAACCATAAACTGCTCAGTTTGATTTGCTGAAGCCCTGTGGTGAACAGAGTCCCGTGTTCCCCTGACTGATTCACATGGGACCCTCGGGGCCGCTGTGATTTCCGTGCCTTGTAACCTCCTGCTGTTTATGAGCTTGGATCATTATCTCTTGGCTGTGCTTATCCAAAGCAAACAACAGCGAGTGCATTTGAATTCTGCCTTCTATTTTCCTGCTGGCTACGGAGGCAGCTGTGGATATTTTAGGAAGGGTCGCTCCGCGCAGTGCTGAGATGCAAGCCCTACTAACAACCAGACGGTAACACTGCTTGCTGTTTCCTGCCACTAGAGGTGTTTGGAAGAGTTAACAACAACTTCCGAGCCCAAGAACAGCGGAGGAAATGTACCTTTTGTGGTTGCATAAAGGTGAGAGAGCCCCATGGGTGGAAAGTTGAAATTTGACAAGGAAATAGCCCCTGTTAGAGCATGACTCTGCATGGGGTTTTGCTGAGAAAATTTAGGCCAGCATTTTGAAATTCTGGGTTCGAAATGTTGATTACAAGACTACTAGATCAGCGGTTTAGAGCTGGAAGAAATTCATTGGACCTGTTGTGCCCTTGAGGGCGTAACAAAGAGAAAGCGTTTGTATTTTTTCTCTGGACTTTTTGTAGTGGACGACTGTGAATCAGAGGAAAGAGTACACAGTGGATTTGTCTTCTGGGACAGCAATTCCAGCAACACAAAAACTAAACTCTTCATTGTAGTGACAACCGCAGCAACTACTGCCTTGCAAATAGTTGCTGTTCCTACCTCTGCCTTTAATAGTTTGCATCTGCTGGGGTGAAGCTCGGACACTTTCAGAGTGTTCCTGTAAGGGCTGCGTTAGGTTCGACTGGCTGCTAAATTCTTTTCTGTCCCAAGTGGATGTTGTTTTGTTTACATTCCAAGAAAAAAAATGATTCAGCCACTTTTGAGGACAATGAAGAAAATGTATTTTTCCGGTTATAGAAAAGTTGCTCTTTTTCTGAATGGCTCAAGAGGGTGGGAAGCTGCTATTTGGTAGTGGCATGGCACTCCTTAAGCAGTACCTCTTGATATTCCCGTAAAAATTGGGTTTGGCTTCACTGCACGGGAAGCTGGTCACAGAAAACGGAGTTTGTGGATGTGCAGGACCTCGTCCCTGGGATTTGTACTGCTCCTGGCACCCGCTCTGCGTGCATGGGCATATGGAAAGGGGTTTTCTGGGGACAGGTCTCTCTGCCTTTGCTGCAGGTACAAGTTCTCAGGCCAGGCGTTGTTAGCATGCTGGAGCCCTTTTTCCTGTGTACCTTGCCAAACTCGCCCTGATGTTCCTGTGTGCCTTACACAGTATCCAGAGTTTGGGCCTTCTGCGTATTAGGTGGAAATTGAGGGGAGCTCCCCTGCAAATGTAGGATGCATGGAGGAGTGCTCTTTTCAGGAATGTGTCTGAACACAGTGCATTTTAGGATGCCTGAGAAATTGGCTGAGAAGTCAAGTCTTAGATTAGCCGCACAGAATATATATTGGGTGTTTACTTATGCACGCGTTTGGCAGCAACTAAAATACAAATAGGCCATTAAGTTTACGAAAGGGAGGCTCACACCCTGTAGGAAAAAACATTGCTGTTGATCCTTGCTTAAAGATTCCCGGGAGATAAGAGCTTTGGTGGGGGAGCCGTATGGCTGAATTGGTTCTGAGCAGGTTTTCGACACTGATCCCTTCCCTGCTGTTCGCCAACAGAGGTGGTACAGAAGGTGAACAAGATGATCGCCACGGGGCAGTACGGAAGGCTCTTTGCTGTGGTCCACTTTGCCAGCAAGCAGTGGAAGATAACCAGTGAGGACTTGATTATGATGGACAATGTAATGGAGGCCGAATGTGGAGACCGAATCCGGATGGAAAAGGTGATGTGCTGTGCTTCCCCGGTGCCTGTGATGCCACGTTGTGTATGGGGCCAGAGTAAACTGCCTGCAAACATTCCGTGAGGCAAAACCCATAACCAGTTTTTAAAAACATGTCCTGAAGAGTTCCTGCTGGATCTCCCGTTCTTACTCCAGCTATTTTCTTTGCCTTAGTTTTGTTCCAATTTCAGTTACTCTGTTAGTGATAATATTATTGTGATTTCTGTTGAACAGGGTTGGAATGAGTCGTGCCAGACTCTGTTGGGAGACAGATTTTTGTTGTACTAACTTCATCCAAAAAAAGAAAATTACAGTTGTTGTTTCTAGAGACGGCAGCTAAAGACTGCTTGAGACTCCAACACCCAAAATACTTGCAGTCCTACCAGAGGGACTGTCACTGCTCAAGGCTTTGCAAGATCCTTATCGTGCTGAGTGTGGTGGGTGGAGGGAGAGGGCTGGGGCTTGTAGGGGCGAATTGCCAAGACGCAATTCAATATCTTTATCCTTGGCCTTCATTAGCTAGCAGGAACTTGTAGAGGCTCGTTAATCCAAATCTTAAATGAAAGATTATGAAGTGGGATTCTGTTAGCTTGATGTTGGTTGTTACAGCCAAGCAAGCAGTTAAGGAGAGCCGGGCAGTTTTTCTACTCGCCCACTGCTTTGACATCCAGTTTTGAGGCAGCTTTTTGGGCATGCCTTCAGCTGTGTCCTGCATCCCTGTGTACAACAGGGAGAGGAGTGATTTGCGTGGAGTAGCCGGCTAGGAACGGAAAGGCCTAGGTGGGAGTGAAGGAGGTGAAAAGCTCGCCTAACCACCACTGCCCTTTGGGATTTCACTGGCCAGTATGTGTCTAAAACAGAAGTCAGGACATCCCGTGACCATACCGTCGCGGTACAATGAGTGCGGGGAAGGAGGCAGTCTGTAAGAAGTGCTGCCTCTTCTCGCCATACTCTCTGTATTACCCTGCCTGGTCCTTCAGACCAGAGGGTGGCTGAAGTGCCCTGAAACGAAAGGGCTAGTCCTTGGGGTGCTGAATCCCCCCCAAACGTTCATTTCTTTATTGCCCATCTTGAGGCCTTATGGAGGAGAATGGGGACAGTGTTTCTCTGCTGCGTATCCCAGTCATTGCTATAAAAAGCCAATGATTTTAGGAGCTGCCATGCATTCAGATCCCACACAAGGCATATTTATTCTTCTTCCCTCTATTGCTTTTCATATCTGTTACAACTGCTGGTGAGCCAGAACAGAAAGGTTCAGTGTGTTCTGATCAATGTGAAGGGCACTTCTGAAGAATGTTTTAGTAGGATAAGCTCTCCCGGAAGGCTGGCTGTTTAATGAATCTGTTTCTTGCCTGTTAGCTGCCTTTCCCCACCATCCTTCTCAACAGTGTCAGGTTTGAAATGTGTAAAGGCCTATTTTTAAGCAGTTTGACTACTTTATATGGTGGCTGTAGAATTTGGGAGACGTTGTTTGCATTTCTTCTGGGACAACAAACCAGTGATACGTGCCTGATTTATTTTCCATAGGTTTTGCTGGTTGGTGCTGATGACTTCACACTTATCGGAAGGCCGCTCCTTGGGTAAGATGTCTCATAGGAGAGTTGTCTTCAAGACAATTGTTGTAATTAATTGTAGCTTCAGGGCTCCTACAGTCCCTGCAGCTGAAGAGAAACGTGGATTTGTCAGCACAAGCTTTTTTCCCAGCCCCGTGGCTTTTGAAAGAATCCCCAATAAGATGAGCTCGTCAGCCTCTGCTGACTCTCCCCATTGCCACAGCGCCAGGACAGAGCAGCAGTACCCGCTTCTGAGGTAACTGTAGGATGTTCACCTCTCTTGGGTTGGATCTCTCTTCATGGAGTAAGCCTTGCACAAACTACCAGTAAATCTCGCTCTTCAACATCTTTACTCCCTTACCCTAAGTTTGGTGATAGTCATCTCGGAATAACCCAGAAATCCTTTCCCAGCTCTTTAATTTGACTTGGGTTTTTTAACCCATGTCCTTTTGCCCTTGTCTTAACTCAGCAGGCCTTAATGCCTAATTCTTCCTTTCTCCTAGCCACATAGCCCAGCGATCGCACAACTGGGCAGCGGGAGTTTGCCCCCTTGGCACCATCTCCATGCCAATGTGGTAGGACTTGCTATACAAACTGGCAGAACGCCTGGTGCTTCAGCCTTTTCTTTACCAATAGGAAATGATGAGTGGACCAGGTGTTACTGCTCAGCTCTTGGCATAGCCAGAAGCAAAGCCATCTACTGTTGTTTTCCCCAGGACAAGAGGTTTTGGTGGTAAAAGGCAAGTCAAGATAAGGTGGGTTGCTCAAGGTATCTGGAAGCCCTGGCTGTGGTCTGGTTGCAGGCTAAACCACACGTTTAGGCCGTAGCTGGAACTGCAGCAGCTTTGGCTGGCCAGATAAGGAGGAACTTGCACATCTGAGAATTATTTCTTGGCGGCTTATAGATTCAGTTTCGAAATACTGTGTGGTTTCAGATTGGTTTCACTTCTGAGGGCTTTCTGTGGTACCAGGGGGCTGTGGGTATTGAAGAGTTACTTGTAACGTGTTTGTACAGTTGATAACATAACTTCAGTTGCCCTGGTGGCAACTGCCTCGGGTTCCCTCTGTTAGACAGGAGTTTGGGGCCCACCAGTCCTTTTAGCAGTACCGCTAATAGATCTGGAATAGCAGATCATCGGGAGCCTCTGAATTAGTGCCAGATATTGCACTTGTGGAAGATTTGAAGAAGGGGATGTCATTATTAGGGCTAGAAATGCTGTCTTGGCAGAAATTCAAATAAGAGCCCAAGTTCTACAGGCAGGGCTGTGCTGTGTCGGGCAGTTTAGGGGCACCATCCTTCGCCTGGTGCTCTCAACTAGTGGCCCTGGGGCTGGTTCTTTTGCAGCTCTCGGTTTGTGTGCTGGATTTGGCATGGCCTGAGACCTGGGAGCTCTGGGGCAGGAAGAGAAACATCTGCTCGGTTCCTGCAAGCGCTCTTAAGCGTGTGGGAAACGTCAGCTGCTTGAAGCAGACCAAACTGCGCATCTGCTGCCAGCGTTAGCTTGAACTCCAGTAACGTGGGAGGAGGAGGAGGAGGCTGACCAGGCACCCCAGCTCTCCGATATGGTCTGAGGACAGGAAAGCAGAGCCCGGCATATCGCAGGCAACGTGGACTACGCTGCTTTCACATGGTTCCCAGCTGTGCCTAAACCACAAGCATTTTGGAGGGGAGATAAGAGGTTGGATGCAAACACAGGCGGTTTGGGCTTTCTGTTGTTTTAAAAATAAACACATCAGTGGACGCTTGCACCAGTGTCTGTGTGAGACAGTCCGTTACAGCTGCACTCCCTGTTCAGACTTGGAGGTGGGTAGGAGCGTCTCCTGTTTCGGACAGATGGCCATGTTTTAATGTTCTGTAGCAGCCGGATACCTCCCAAGATGACACTCCTCTAAAGCCTTAAAACCCAACAGTGCAACAAAACATAGCTGCGTGGCAGAGGCTATTCTGGGAACTCCTAGCTGGCTTCTACTCTGGAATCTGTTGGGTTTTGTGTTTGTTCAGCTAACTCGCTGTCTGGTTGACCGGCACGAGGGTATCAAGCAGTATGAGTCGTACTTTGTTTAGCTGGGTAATGCAGAAATTGTTGTGTGCTTTTAAAACCGTGCTTAGAGGTGAGCATCGCCTTGGGCAGGTTTGCGTTTCAGGTCATCGCTTGAGTGCCCTCGGCTGTTTCAGACTTGAGCGAAATGAATGGTGCTTCTGTGAGAACGTTCAGTTTGTTTCTAGACAAAGTACAGCCGATGGGAATTTTTTCCTCTAGATGAACCCTGCTCCTTCGCCTCCTACCTGCCCGTTTGTGCAGTGGCTTCAGTGGAAATGATAAAGGGCCCTGGATCTCTTCTCCCAGACAGCCAGGCTGGGATTCACTTAACCTTCTGCAGGGAGCGAGCGAGCTTGTCAGCTAAAATTATTACCTCTAAAAATTATGACCCTTTGGGGCTGTAGGTTGCCTGGATCTTTTTCACTGCTTAGTGACAACAGCCTTCAGCCCAGCCTGGATCTATGAGATGTCAGTGTGAATTCTTCTTGCCTCCTGCAGCAATCTGAGAGATGTGCTTTGTCATGAAACATTTTGCTGCTGAAGGCCTGACTGTCTGTGTCAGACTGGGAAATCTGTGACCTCCTTTTTATTTTGATGGACATTCCAGTCATACCTAAAACATTCGATAAAGTGTTGTTTGGTTTTGGTTGGTGGTTTGTGGTTTTTTTTTTTTTCCCCTTGGGCTCTATTTTGCTGAGAACTTTTCTGTTCGTATGCACTTCACCAGCAAGTTGGTTTCTGCTGTGCTTCAGTCTTTCAGCCAGCAGGTCCTGGTGCTTTGTCCAACAGAGAAAGACTCACCGGGGCCTGTTGGCCTTGAACTTTGATGTGCAGAGGGAAGCCACGCTTGGATGCTCAACTATGTCTGGGCAATATCCTTAAAGGTTTGCTTGAAAGCACATCAACATCTGTGGGGGGGATGCTTACCTACAGGTCGGTGTCAGTGTTTCTCCTTTTGGCTGGGTGCCACTCAGGCCTAGGGCAGCTCGTGTGGTCCAGCGGCGAGAGCTGTATTGGGTATAGCTTGGCTGTCTACTGCCAGCCCTGGCTCTCCTGAGAGCAGCACAGAGATTTCGGTGACCGGGTCGCTTTATCTGGCCTGGCCGCTTTCCAGCTTCCCCATGTGATCATCATTAGCGAGTTTTTTAGATGCTTTTACAGTCCAAGCCTGTGAGAAGTCAGTGGGAGTTTAGCTTTCCCTTTGCCTTCGGTGGGCAGGAATTAGACCCAGAAAGTGCACCTCCCTAATTAGAACATGGCCAGCCCCTGGAGCACAGTTCATTTTTTGGTTTCCTTCCGAGCGTTGGCAAGCTCGCTGTGTATTTCAGTAGTGCTGTTGGGTCCTGCCACTGGGCTGAATCTGGAGAACGTCGTTTAGGGTGTCAGGGTGACCCAGTGATCTCTTAAAATCTGGATTATCTTGCGTCTGCTTTCTTCTGGGCTAGTCACTAAATGCAGATACGTCAGTTTTCTCCTCTGGCTGTCCTTCCCTCCTCCCTCATGGATTCAATCTCTGATACACATTACACCCCAGAGAGTAAATGTTAAGGGAGATGGTAAATGTCTCGGAGCCTTTGGCCTCCTAGTGACCTTGCTGGAACAGTTGGGCTAGATGGGCTTCCCCCCTTAAGTGCAGACAGAGTCGTTTGTCAGGAAAATGTTCTTTAAATGTCTTCCGGCAGCAAAGTGAGCATGCTAATGAGATTTTAATGGCGTTCTGCAGCGATGCTGCAGGAGAGAGCAGCTCTTCCTCCTCCATCGTGGCTGTTGATTAAAACCACGCTTTCCAAAGCCCTGGTCTGGCTCTTGTCTGGAGGCACTTCTCTTCCCAGGGAGGAGCTCTTGTGCAGACAGGTAGCTGGTGCTCCAGCGCGTGCTTCAGACCACCTTGTTTTCCAGCTCTGGTGTTTTTCAGATAGCACCTAGAAATGCCAGCGCTCCTTTTCTAACTTCAGCGGGACTTCTTCTCTCAGAGCGCGGCAGAAGCCCTGGGTGGGCAGGGGGTGTATTTGCCTGCGTTGGCAAGGTAATGCGGAGGGACGAATCGCTCTGTGACCATATTCTTCTCTTTACCTCCATCCTCGGGGAGGGAGGGATGCTTACTGGCTGAGAATTGCCAGGTGTAGAAATGAGATCTAGAAATCATTTGAGTCTTTGAGTGGTCTCACTGCTCAACCTGAACTCCCCCAGCTGCGGGGCGGGGAACAGTACGTGAAATCCTCAGTGAGTCCCTGTCTTCTCTTCCAATTTGGGGTAAACAAGCAGGACAGACCAAGAGTGGGAGGCAAAAGAGAGGCACGGGGGAGGAGAAGTGACTTGCTCCAGCAGCCAATTAGCTGTGCTTCCTGCTAGAAACAGTGGGCCAAATCTCTTTTCACCGAGCCTTTGCCAGGACTTTTTCAGGTGAGGAAGGGGAGAAGGCTTTCTTCCATCTGTCTGTGATGCTTTATAGAAGGAGGAAGGGCTTCTGTGTTGACCAGCGTAGCGCGGGAGAAGGGGCCACGGGTGGGTTTAACCTGTGCCATAAGCAAAGTAGGACACATAAGATCATGTGAACGTGCCAGGGGAATTTATCTTGCTGTAATCCTGCAAGTTCCTGCAGGTTTGTCCTGCTACTGCCTCCGTAGGTGTTTCTGATCTTATCCCTTGCATGACAGAGGGGTGCTGCCCTGCAAACTCTCACATTGCTTGGCTGATCCACGCACAGCACCTCTGAGGGTTTTGGTTTTGTACCGTGAAGCCAATAACCCGACAGGTTTCCCTCCTTCCATGCTGACTTTGTAGTTCCCATGGATCTGGGCTCTGTAAGGCAGGATATATTATCAGTGTGTCACTTTTCCCCAGAAACCTGTTCATCCATAGGAGGAGCATGTAAATAATTAAAAAGTGCTATTTTTAAAATTTATTTTTAAGGAAAGATCTCGTCCGGGTGGAGGCTACTGTGATTGAAAAGACAGAGTCGTGGCCAAAAATCAACATGCGCTTTTGGAAGAGGCACAACTATCAAAGGAAGAAAAGTAAGATGAAAAGAATACAGAGCTTCCTTCCCTGCTGGTTTTGTCGCTGGATCCGGGAGGGGGAGGTATCCTGACATGAGGGCAGCGCCTGGGGAGGGGGATTCATTCACCATATCCCCAGGACCCCTCCTGGCACAGCACCTCTTTCCCAGCCCGCTGCCCCAGGCGTGCCTGCTGTGTTCAGAGCACAGCGCCTTAACACCCCCTGGGTCCAGCACCCTTTGTTAGACAGCCTTGCAAAAGACCTGGCTGAGAAAAGGTATTCTGGGCCAAAAAGCAAGCTTGTTCTCTTTCCGAAGCCTTAAATCTTGGATATGTAACCACAGATACTTGCAAGTCTTCACAGCGTCCTGTGGTGGGCTTTTCAGTTACCAAATCACTGCCTCTTCTCAGATATGACCGAGAGAGAGAAAAATTATGACCCTTTTTTTTATTTTATGGGACGGATGCTAAAACCTTGACCAGCCTGCTTCAGCCCCGCAGGAGCTCTGCCTAGGCCTCCTGTTCGTGCCACACCAGTGGTGTGCAGCTCTCCTGCCAGCGTGCAGCATCTGCCAGCACACCCCCTCCGAGAAACCGTCGCGCCTTGGCACGCCTCGGACCAACGTAGCTAAGCCAGCAGCAGCCTTCCGAAAGGTACGCAACAGTTTTCTGCTGCTGTCTGATCCTTTTTTTTCTTTTTTCTCTTTTCATTCTTTTTCAGTCATCATGAACCCACAGACTGTCCTCCGAATAAACACCATAGAAATTTTCCCCTGCTTGTCATGATGGATTGATCGGCTGTTGCGTGGCTTGGGTTTATTATTGCTTTAGGCAATTATGGAAATAAAACTGCCTTGTCATTGGAAAGTTCTGGGCTTCTCGCTGTTGTTGGAAATGGAAATCTATATGTCCTTTCTTTTTCAAAAACCAATGAAGTATTTTTTTTAAACTTATTATTTCAGCCTTGATGATGTTTATTTGTCAGGAGTTTTAAACAACCCAGGACCCATTGCTAGCTGCCCAGCTCAGTCATGCCAGCTGGGCCTACCTTTGCCTGCACACCTCTCTGTACTTTAGGAATTCAGACTCTCAGTGGTGTCTTAACAATACCTTGGGCTTCACTGGTTGTGGAAGAAGAGGGCCATCTGCCTCCCCAGTCCCACAGGTGAGCCTGGGAGGCAGAATCTCTGTGTGTGTGTGTGTGTTTATTTTGTATTTAGTATGGGTTTATCAGTTTCATAGAATCCCAGAATCGCAAGGGTTGGAAGGGCCCTCCGGAGCTCACCCAGTCCCACCCCTCTGCTCGAGCAGGGGGCACAGGACAGCATCCAGGTGGGGGTTGAATATCTCCAGAGAAGGAGACTCCACAGCCCCCCTGGGCAGCCTGGGCCAGGGCTCGGGCACCCTCAAAGTACAGAAGTTCTTCCTCATGTTCAACTGAAACCTCTTATGTCTCAGTTTGTGCCCATTGCCCCTTGTCCTGGCGCTGGGCACCACTGAGAAGAGTCTGGCTCCGTCCTCGTGACCCCCCCTTGAGATAGGGGAGCCCAGAACTGGACCCAGTGCTCCAGGTGGGGTCTCCCCAGGGCAGAGCAGAGGGAGAGGAGAACCTCCCTCGCCCTGCTGGCCACACTCCTCTTGATGCACCCCAGGGTGCCCTTGGCCTTCTTGGCACCAAGGGCACCCTGCTGGCTCTTGGCCAGCGGTGTTTAAAGCGCCTGTCGCTGTGCTTAGTTACCCGTGTGCCTGCAGGTCTCCCAACCCCGGGGCTGTGAGAGCGGTTGGGGCTAGCAGAGGGGCGGGCGTCTTTGGGTGAGCTGACTTGCCCTCTGGAAACCCTCACTGCTCTCCGCAGACTGCAGTTACATCGTGTAAATAGGTGAGGTGTTGTTTTAAGAGTGCCAAGTGTGATTTGCCCCCCTCCCCAGCCCCCCCTTTTCCTCTCCTGACAAAAGCCCTGCTGCTCCGTTCATATAATTCCTGGCGTTGTATGGCTTTGGGGAATATCCTGGGGTAGAGCGTGGCCCGCAGCCAACGTGGGATGGAAGAGAGCAGCAAAACAAGATGACTGCAGGATCCCAAATCTCCCAGATCATGTTAAGTGGTGCAAATCCTCCTTAAAGATTAGCGAGAGGAGGTGCAGCTGGGACCTTGCCCTCCTAAAGGCGAGGCAAAGAGCCTGTTGCACAGCAGTGATTGCCTGGGTGTGCAATACCATCCAAATAACAGACACCGGGAGGGAGTTCACGCCTGTTTCACAGGCCTGGTGCTTGGCCTGCTGAGTGTATTTTCACATCCAGATCTCAGTATTTTCTCTCCACTTTGCAAGTCGAGCGCTGTCACTTGCCAGGCAGCACGTGGAAGGGTTCAGGGTTCAGCCTGCCTGCATTTTGGAGTGTACTAACAACCGGGGAGAGGTCCCTGGAGCTTTCAGCAGGCTCTCGGGGTAGCTGTCGGGTTCCCTGCAGCTACCTCGAGAAGCGATAAGTGGGCTCCGCTCACCTCCTCACTTCGGTAGGGAATGCCTTGCTTCAGATGAGTCAGGAGGAAAGTCCGCATACGGGCACCCCCACCGTGACTCCTCCGTGGGGCTGAGCCCACCGCAGCCCTGCGCCGAGGGAAATGCTCGTTTGGGACGTAACTGTGGGCATTGGGTGTGATGGAGCGGCTTTGGTGGGCCCCTGGCGTCCACCCAGGGTCAAACCCCCACACTGTGTCCGGGTCTTGCCCCGTCTTTCAAGTCCGTATAAACCTTCAGGAGATCACTTTGGGTGCCATAAACGGCAAGCTTGATGGCTCAGGCCTGACTTCTCACCTGACTTCAGCTCGAGGAAGATCCAGGCATGCTTGGGTTAAGCTGGTTCTCTAGGCGCCAGAGAGAGATGGTCATCTGCAGGGGCTGACTCATCTCTTCCCCTTTCGCATCGGCTGGCACGAACAGCCCTTGGGAGATGCCGTTCCTTCCCGACTGACTCTACCAGGAGGCTGGGCGCCGAGCTTTTAAACAGCGAATGGTGACACGAGGCAGGGACCTCCCTGCGACCAGCTTTGGTCGGTGCGTCTGTGTTTTACGAGCTCTCACACGTGGAAGGCAGTGGGGGGGACCTCTCCAAAAATCATCTCCCACCTCATCCTCCCCCTTCTCCCCGAGGTGGCTCCGGCTCCGCGCTGGGACCACGGATCCCAGCAGTAGCTGCAATGTGTTGTGGGCTGGCATGGAGACCGGCAGCGAGCGCTTTCCAGTTACAGACTGGAGCAGCGTTGCCAGCTGAAGCGATCTTACTGGAAACCTCGCGGTCCCTCTGCGTTTCTTAAGGCACGTGAGTGCTGGGGCTGAGAAACAGCGTCTGTGTGTGTGTGTGTGTGTGTGTGTGCTTCCAGAGAATGGAAGGGGGAATTTTCTGTCCTTCCCGGTTACGGAGGAATGCTTGAAAGTACCAGGAGAGATTTCGAGGCTCTGAAATATGGGAGGAAGAGCCCAGGGTTGATTCAAAAGGCAAAGCAAATGTCTGAAGCTGATCCGTAAGACTGGTCCCGCCAAAAAAGCCCTTGGGAAATGTAATTCTGATCCAAGTGGGATACTGTATGAAATGTATGGTGGCTTCACAGCGTTTCGGGGGGAGAAAAATGCAGGAAGGGAGAACTCAACCAATTCCTGGGGTTTGTTTTGAAAATTTTAGAATATAAAATCAGAGCAAAAGACTCAGGTTTTATTGACATGGTGCATTCAGACTGAGGCAAAAGGGGGATTATTTTTGACTTTTTCTTTGGGGAATTTAAAGAAAAAGTTTTTTGCCGTCCCAGGTGGAAGCAGAAATCCCTGGTTCTTCTCCGGAGTGAAGCCACAAGTCTGCGTTTGGCTTCACATATCGGGGGGGTGTGGCTGCTTGTGATCCTCTCTCCAGCTGCTAAATGCAGTTTGCCACACTTAAACATCTTAAGCGCAGAAATTTCTCAACACAGCAGCCTCCCCC